ACAACAAGGGAAGCTAGTAAAAGGGTGAAAGTGACTGAGACAGTGCATAGCAAAAAGATCAAAGAAGATCCTCAAGTGACTTTGATACCTCAGAGTTGTGATGGCAACACAATTGAGTATAAGGTGAAGTGCAAAGGAACTTCAAAGCCCTTCTCAAGGTTTAGAGCAGTTCTTACATCTGAGATGAAGGAGAAAGGACAAGGTGCTGTGAAAAGATTTCTGAGCAGAAATTTGAAGCTGAAAGTATCTGAATGTGGAGCTTGTTTTGCAACAAGTTTTCATGATCAGCCTGACTAAATTCCAGCATCCAAGTCAAGCTAATGACTGAAAACAAGCGCTTAGTGGGAGGCAACCCACTGGTAAGTGTACATATCTAGTCTTATTTTTGATTTTTACTAATTGATTTTGGTGTTTTTGTTTCAAAAAAAAAAAAATTGCCTCGAGACGGATGGATATCGACCGAGGTCGACAGTGAACAGTGTCGATCGACACCCACCTACTGGTGTTGATCGACACCTTGACGGGACTGCAATTCTAAAAGTTCAACCATCCATAACTTTTGCGTTTCTTGACCTTTGAGTGATTCAAAAGCCTAAACTGGTTGGATTTTTGTGCTCTTTCACATTATATCACTCATTCATCCGACCTACAAGGTATGTTTCTCGAAGACCTCTGTTCACTGAGTTCTGATTCTTCTTTTCACCTACTTCAGGCTTGATAACACTGGGGACAGTGTTGTTTAAGTCTGGGGGAGGTAGTTACTGATGTTGTGTTTGTTTTTGAGAGTCAGTTTTGAGTTAGTCCAAAAAAAATTTTATTGAGTTAAAGCTAGTTGGGAACTAGGATCTTTCTCTTGATTGTTTGTGATGATTGTTTCATCTGAGTGACCATTGCTGCATGATTAATACCAGTTTCTGACTAATGAAAAATCCTTAGGCTGACCCGTTAACTAGAAACATCCATAGTTCCAGTAAATTCCACTTAACTTAAGCTTCAAAAAGGCTAAGTTAGTAAGTCTGATATTCATAGAGCTTGATTCCTCATTCATACCTGAAAAATTGCCTGCAATGTTTGAAAAGTGATGGTACTCTTCTCCCTTGATAGTTAAAGAAAAAGAAAGAAAATTTGAGATGATTCTCTTTGAGTGAAGGGTAGGAAAATTTCCAATGATCCCAGTATTTCATTTTAAAGAGATGATCACAGGTGGAAGTAAGGTTAGGATTATTCTATGATACCATTATTTACCTACACCTGAATAATATAATAAGTTTGGGGGAGAGAAAGAGTACCAAAGGTTGATAGATTGTAGTGCAAATTTATTTAGGTATAGTATGGGACTGAATCTAGAAAGTTCTTGAACATTTAGGTTGCTGATGAAGTTTAGCAATGATAATTATTAGACAATGATGTAAATTTATGTGTTGAATCTGGGATGCTGTGAATGTCTAAGGCGAAGTACATGGTGGTTCGATTTGGTTTAAGAAATGCAGTGTGTGGATTACAAGATGAACAGTCAAAGCAATGATCTATGAGAAGGTGAGTTCCCGTGTTTTCAAACCTCGACTCTGTATTTAGTTTTCTGTTTGCTTGGGGGCAAGCAAAAGCTAAGTCTGGGGGAGTTGATATATCATGGTTTTTATGGGTTTTTGACCATGATATAAGTCCTGTTTATAGAGTCTTTTTGTTATTTTCGAATCTTTTTGAGTCGTTACAGGTTTGGATATGTTTGGAGCTTATTTGGAGATATTGGAGCATTCTGGAGCAAAACAGAAGATGTTGCTGAAGAAATCAAGTCGTGCAAAAATCGTACACTCGAGCAGAAATTGTGCAGTGCGCGTGCAAATCCCGTGTTGATCGACACCAAAAGTGCACAAATCTTGCCCGAGTTTTTAAAGATTTCTGAAGACTTACAAGTTCGCCCAGAAGTTTTATATATTTGCAGTTTCGCCTCAAATCGTGTTCTGGGTCTATAAAAGGATTTTTATGGTCATTGTTTAGACCTAAGCTTTATTTTATTGAGAGATTAAGAGAGAGATTTTTAGAGAGTTTTTTGGAGAGATAAATCATTCTCCTTTAGAGAAGATTTTGAACTCCTTTATTTCTTCTATTGATTTCTCTTATGCTTTCTATTCAAATTATGATTTGTGTTTTATTGATCATGTCTGAGTAGTCTGCTTGTTAGGTTTAGGGTTTTTCAAAGGTGATGATGAATTGCTAGGTTGAATTGAATTGTTAGGGTAAAATCATTAGAGTTCTTCATCTTGATTTGTGTTTAATGCTTATTCTAGCTTCATGACCTAGAATTTGATCTTATGTTGTTTAATAGATGTGGAAACATTATTAATCACTAGAACTAATCAGAGATGAGCAAAATTCCTATCTGCAAAGGAATTTGGCTTAGGATTTTGTGAACAATTGAACCTGATTTTAATGTTTGTTTGAATTAATAGGATTTGCAAAGGAATTTGGGATTCTAGGATTTAGACATAGATAATCTCTGCAGCGGAAGTTGATTGATTTTATATTAGTGTTTCAAGTTCAATAACAGTGCTTAATAAACTCCTAACATTCTGTCTAGATTTGCAATTCGGATTCACCTGCGAATTTCCCAAGGCCTAGTGTTTCTCTCTTTGCTTTAAAACCTCCTCACAATCGATTTGCTGCTTTATTTTTATTACTTGCATTACATTTATTTAGTTTTCCTTAGCTTGATTGGAACCTAGAATCTAGTGTGCAATAATCTAAATCCTTGTGGATTCAATCCCTAAATACTACTATGATTTCTTAATTTGAGAGAGCAGTTCTAAGGATTAATTTGAGCATATCACCTATAATCCCACATGGCTCATGCATGTCTTGTGCGCAGCATGATGTGAAGCCAACCTGATTGTATTCTAGAAACACTTTTTTCTTTTTTTTTGGGGGGGGGCAAAATGTATTCTAGAAACACTATGCTATATTATATTCTGTAAAATTCGGACGGTGTACAAAATGATTTGAATGTTGACTTGGATCAACTTGGCATATGTTTAAAACACGATATATTATTCTGTAAAATTCGATTCGGCATAAAATAGTTTACTACTTCGAAAGTCGAAAGTGAAAAGTTAAGAAGTGTAATTGGTTTGCTCAGCATAAGATAATGTGATATTAATTCGAATGTGACATGTAGATTTTTAAGAAGGTTGACAAAAGTAACATGTATATTATGAAATTGGTGAAAGGGTTATATTGTTCAACCTAGAAGCTGACCTAGTAAAAATAATTAAATAATTGAATAAGCCCAACTATAAAAAAAAGAATTGAATAATTGAAACTATAATATTTGTCTCTTCGGGCCGGTTGCTAGCAAAACAAAAAAGTCAGAAGGCTGAACCAAGAAAACAAATATACGCGCCGCGTGTACATGTACATAGGACCAACATTATTAGCAACGTGCACATTTACGATGATGACGCGGCGACCGCGTGACTTTTTCCTTCTTATTATATGAATAGAATTTTTTTTTTTTTTTTGTAACCAAAACTTAATAGAAAAGTATATGTGGAAAAAACATTAGTTGAAATAAGTTTGTCGATTTAAAAAAGCAATGCAACATCTTTAAATTAAATTTAGTATAAGGTTATGCAAAATAAATAAATAAACTTATAGTAAAATATTTTATAAAAAAGTAAATTTCATGCCATTCATTTATATTATCTTAACAGATTTCTTTTGAAAATTCAATAATTCTACACGTGTTTATATTTTTGTTTAATTTTATAACGACTTATGTTTATTAACTGCTATATAGTATATTTAAAAACATATTTAATATATGCATCCGTTTTAGATATTCAATACTATTAATCAGTTTCAAGTTTTTGTATCTTTTTCGTTCTTTACAAAAAGTATATGAAAATTCGAGAAATGGGCGTAGAGTGCCTGAAGAGAGTTTGGATAAGGGATTGCGTTATGTGATTCAGTGGTTCTTAATTTTTATACCATTACCAAGTGAGGGTATGAAAACATGGAAGGATGAGATTTATGTTGTTGTTGTTGTTACCAAAACGATAACAGAAGACACTGAAAATTTGTATCGCTTTTGTGGCTATGAGGGTCACTGGCCGTCTTGAGATGTTAAAAAGGACTTGTGAGTCCTAAAGGATTACATAATCCTGCGCGAATGAATGATGTTACCCGATGACGGTGTACAAAACGACTTCGATGTTGACTTGAGAAATGATTATGTATTATATAATACATTTATACTTAAAACGTTCTTATAATATTGATTCGAATATGACATTTGATTAAGAATTGATTTTTTGTGAAAACTGTTTTAAAACTTTTTTTATGTAGAAGCTAACCTAAAACGACAGTTTATTTTTCAGGGTTAAATTCTGAAAATCATAGTTATACAGTACTCTAATTAGAAAACCTTTGAGTGGTATGAAAAGAATAAGCCGTCAAGCAAAAAAAAAGAAAGAAGAAGAAGAATTGAATAATTGAAATTATAAAGTCTATAATCGTTCTCTTCGGTACATACCAGACTAATGTACCAGCCTCAGACCAGACATTTTAGGGTTACATGGAACCCACATATACATGCAAAACGTGCACCTTTACGAGAATGACGTGACGAAAACGTGGTTTCTAAAACAATAAGATAAAAGCATGCAGCACAAACCTAGTACTTAGCTATAATACGCAATCACATCTGCATATAAGTAATTATAATTAGATGGTTGGTAACAAATGTACGGCCACAAAAAAGATGCTAAAATCGTAATTAAACGGTTCCACACTAATAATTAGATGTTTGGTAACAAAATGCAAGGTCCGATTTTTACCCAAAAAAAAAATGTAAGGTCCGTTTCTTTATTGCCGAGATAAACCCTACTCGGTCCGTTTTCTTCAGTTCTATATATATTCTTCACACCACTTTCGATCCTTTTGCAGCTCAGTCAAAACCGAATTGATTTCAATTTTTTTTAGCTTTGAGTTTTAATCCCACGAAAATGGATTATTCAGAAAATGTTCCCTCTAATGATCAAGACGAAAATTCCACCACTGTTGCACCACCACATCCTCTCACTACCTACTTGACAAGAGATCAAGAGCATGAGATCATGGTCTCTGCTTTGCGACAAGTGATATCCAACTCAGGAGGTGACACGTCATCATCAAATCTGATCGCTGGCCAAGTTCTTCCGCCGTCGGACGCTGGTCCTTGTCCTCTCTGCGGCGTTACCGGTTGCTACGGCTGCGCATTTCAACGGCGGCGGCATGAAGAGTTGAAGGAGGAGAAGAAATACAAAGGAGTGAGGAGGAAACCGTCGGGTAAATGGTCGGCGGAGATATGGGATCCGGTTTTGAAAGAAAGGAGGTGGCTTGGAACGTTTCCGACTGCGGAGATAGCTGCACGTGCTTACGACGAGGCTGCAGCTGAGTTTGTCGGGAGAATGTCAGCGAGACGTGGCACAATGAACGGAGAAGGAATTAAGCGGCGGCGGAGATGACTGAGAATGAAAGTTTCTACACTAATACTATTACTGAGAATGAAAGTTTCTAAACTAATACTATTCAAATGATCATATATTTATACACGGATGTGGTAATGTTATATTTACTATTGGAATAAAATTTAAAACTAAGCTAAAAACCATATAAATGAGTGTATTCGATTTAATATTTGAAACATTTTTGAAGGATTCGAATTTTAGCTAAGTTTTAAATGATTTTGATTGAAAATGACATCAGTCATTATGATCTTGTATATATTAATTGATAATTTAGTTTAAAGAAAAATGTATATTTGTATTAATTTAATGTGATTAATTAATCTCTAAAAATATAATATTTAAAATGGTAATATATGTAATGATGATGTAATTATCACATTACAGTTTTTAATATACGTAGCACTGTGATATAGCCTTATGTAATTTATATAAAGAAATAAATTTTTGAAAATTAATTTTTTATCCAGATTAAGTTTAGAATTCAGATACATATTCATATATATAATAAACTAAGTCCATTTAAGTTTAGAGATTTAATTGTTGTTAAAATATTTGTGGCAGGCGATTATTGAAAAAAAAATTGATTCACGGTTTTAACAAAAAATTTGTGGAATCGGTTGTTTCAAACAAAGTTTTTATAATCATATCTTTTACGCAAGTTTTTTTATAAAAAATTTACGGACTCGTTTTTTTTTCGGATCCTTGGGCAGGACTGAGAGACGAGCCAACAACCATGCATCAATAAATTTATGCATGAATGCTGCTGTCTGACCCGGCAGCATTCAAATACATAGGACAACCATGCATGGTACTTCTCGCACCAGTTACCGAGGGAGGGACAGTTGAACGAGCCACTCATGAATGCTGCAGGGTTAGACGAGCCAACAACTTGGACGCATTTGTTAGCAAGAATTACAGCGTTACTTTACCTTCACATAAGGAGCCGAGGTCACTCTGCCTCCATATTTGGTACCTTCCATAATTCATGTAGATACTAAATGTGAAAAGAGTTCATAGTCTTGAAAAAATCTCGCACCTCTGATTTTATACAATGAATTGTACTTAAAGATATTGGCTTCTTTCCTATAGAAAAGGAATAATAGTATAACACGACGAGGAAAGAAACAGAAAAACAAATTAATATTCCAAACTTACTATCAAGAAAATGATATTACCAAATAGTTTCCTTTTGAATTACCTAATCCACGAAAATTGCAGAATTTCAAGAAAAGAAAGAGAAGTCTTAATGAATCAAATCGAGATTGATTCTCAGCCCTTAGATGCGATGAAAAATGATAATCGGGCGGGGATGAAGGAATAGTCAACATAGGATTAGAATCTGACGATGAGACTAATTTTGTTTATTAATGCCAGTCGGCTTTTCCAAGAAGAAAATTTTAAGAAAGCAATTTTTAAGTATGCATGTAGTAAGATGAATATTGGAAAGGATTATAGACGAGTTTAAGAAAAATGCATTATTGAGTGTTGGAAGAAGACTGATTCAGAGCAAATGACATCGAAGTTTTAAAGAATAAGGGCCAACCGCATGTCAGATTTTTCGTGAAAACAATTAAGTTGATTATGCAAAACAATTTGAAAGGTGGTATATATATGATTATGTGTTTGAGCTCGGGATTCAAATTATATGATTATATCAGAAGGAACAAATGAAGATTGTGTGACATGGTAGCAGTATATATGTGTGATTTAACGTATTATTGCACTATAGATATATTCCAAATTTAATTTCAATTTATTAATTTATAATTTGAAATATGAGTACTTAACGTACTGTTGTAATATTTGTCCGAATACCATGCTTATGTTATCGGATTCATGAAATTAGGAAAAAAAAATGTTAGGGTTTTAACTTTTGAACCGATTTAGTGCTTTGATCTTATGAGTTTTGATTACGAACTATAAATTAAAGACGCAAGAATTTGGTCACCGAATTCTCACTTATGGTACCTCTCGGATCCGTCTCTCACAACTTCACTATCAATCAAGGGTTAACACAATGCACTAATTATAATGGTTCTTAATTTGTGTTACGTGAAAGAGCAAACAAAAGTACACAACAAGGAATAAAAATGATCAAAGAAACTCTCAAAGAATTGAGACTCTAACTTCTCTTTCTCTAGCTTTTTTTGATATTCTCTCCCTCGGCTCACATCTCTTCTTATTGTGTCTTCCTTTTTCTGAATCACGAGAACTAGCTAGTAATGTGGTACATGTTGACTTGTTGAAACGTGACAGGACTTGTGAGTCCTAGCGAATTACGTAGCCCCTGCATTATTAATGCGCAGTAATGTGAACTCAACGTTTACGTATCTGCTTGAATTAGTCTTCCTGGTTCTATATTGCAAAACCGGCTTGAAAACACCAAATTGATCAATTCCAACTCAATCTCGGACGGCGTACAAAATGACTAAAATGATGTTGACTTGGATCAATACTGTATATTATATACAAATTGGTCTACCAAATCCAAAACTCGAAAGTGACCACAACTTAAGAAGTGTAATTGGTTTACACGGCTTAAAATGGTATAATATTAACTCGAAAGTGACTTGTAGATTAAGAAAGTAAGATTGACACTGGAAAAAAATATGTTGATTAAGAAGTCAATTTTGGTGAAAAGGGTTCAACTGTTTTTTTATTATGAGCTGACCTGAAAACGACATTTTTGTGTCTGTAGTGGGGAAGGGATTATATTCAAAAAACCATATACAGTACTAGTGTACTCTTAATTACTTAATGTGGAAAGACTGAATTGAATAAGCTGTCAAACATATAAGAGGGAAAAATTGAATAATTAAACCTTTTCTTTTTGGGGGCATAAATTGAATATTTGAACTTTTTCTTTTTTTGGGGGCATAAAATGAATAATTGAAACTATATATCCTTCCAATAAACAAAAAAACAAAACAATATTCCGCCACCGTGTATACCACTCCAGGGTTCAAATGGGACCCACATATTTAATCCCTTATCCGCGGCCGGTGATGTGAAAAAATAAGAATAGTTTTTTTTGACAAAATATAATTTAGTCTGGAAACTGGAAAATTGGAAACCAATACAACGTCGTTAAGAAAACAATTTATTTTTATAAACGATGCAAAATAAATAAATAAAATTGAGATCGTAAGTTTCTTTTTATCGGGAATCATGCATTTTATAATTGCTACGTCTTTTTTTCCTTCTATAATCTTTTTGAAACACTCTTTAACTAAAAAGTTAAAACATTTTTAAAACACTCTTAAAAAAAAAGCAAAATAATAAACTGTAATATTAGAGTCGTGTCTGAAAGAATAACGACTTAGATTCTTCTCATTCATCGCGCCATCAGCTGGCCTTTCGTCGGTCGTCGAAATTTTTTTTCTTTCTCCTCCTATTTTCCTTTCTTTCCAGATATGGTTAAGATTGCTACTCGTGAAGATCCTCCTGACCCAAATCCGCCATATCAGAAGGCCTCTTCTTTGAATCTGTCTCTACCTCGCTCAGCGCCCTGTTGCTCAGATCTAGAAACCAGAGATGCAATTGTTCTCACGGATGCTCTGGTAGTCTCTCACTCCAGTCTCCAATTCTCTAGTCTCAACTACCTCCTCAGTTCCGCCAGCGATTCCATCAGCCTCTGCTCCTCCTTTTGCCAAAAGGTTTAAAGCTTCTTTAAGGAACTCACAGAAGATGGCCTCTCCTTCGTACCAAGAGGATGGTACTCCGGTAGTTCAAGCTCCTGATTCGGTACTCTTAAAGGTCTCTAAATTGTGGCAAAGACATATCGTAGCTCAGTTTTACGGTCTCTTCCCTCCGGTCTCAGTAGTGTATAACGACCTTAACCAATCTGGGGAAAGCACGGCAACATCACTATGCGAAAACTCTCAGATTTTGCTTGTTTAATCTTTATTCCGTCTTTGGCCACCAGAGCATGGGTGCTGGAGGTGGGTTACTGGCAGGCGGGTCATTGCGCCTTTGTAGTATCCCCGTGGTCTGCAATGGCTTTACACGAACTGCCGGAACTGGAATCAGCGCCACCCTGGGCAATTCTAAAGAATATCCCTCCTATGCTATACTCTCTCGATGGTATCAACGTCATTGCGAGTGCCATAGGGGATCCACTTCACACCGAAAACTCATGCCTTGATGTTGTTAATTTAAGCTCCACGAAAGTGAAAGATGATATTATGCTGTTCTCCTCCCGCAATGGTGATTGTCAAAGATTCACTGGGGAATACAGCCTGAGTAGAAGTATCTTACCCGAGGCTCCTTCTTAAATGTGTTAACTGCTCTAAATTTGGCCACTTAATCAACCATTGCCCAAGACCTCTCATGAAGAGGAAACCAGAGAAGAGGATTGGTCCTGCAGTTGCCTCTGTAGCTCTAAATCCTGTAACAGACCCAAATTCCAGTCTTCCTGCTTCCCTGGTTCTACCGGGAGTTCTTAATACATCCACGGGTGAAGGAAGTAAGAAGATTGCAATGGCTGATCGGTCTCGTTCACGCTCTAAAAGAGGTTTGGAAAAAGAAGGTAAAACCAGGGCAAGAAGCTCTCCACCTAAAACAGCTTCATTTCCCTCTATAGAGACCCCTCTCTTGTCCTCCCCCCGGATGGAGACAGTGACTTCAGTTTTAAATACGACTTGCAGAAGAAATCTTTTTTAGAGGTGGTAGGGAAGCCCTCTGGCCCTGGTAGTGAAGGGACTAGTAAGGACTTCGTCGGATCAGAGCCTTGTAGAGCTTTCTTGGGGCCGGATCGCAGTAAGGGGAAATGTGGGGAAACGTCAGCGGCGCCTAATTCTCTCTCTCGAGAGGAGCTTATGTTGATGTCTCGTTCAGCCAGGAAACGAGCAAAAAAGAAAATGCGCCAGGATGCTCTAGAGGCGTGCTCCCCCGATGCAAAATGTATCAGCTCTCGGGTTATTATTCAGGGTCGTCCCTTGAGAAATGAGCCTAATCTCTGAAAGCTTTGTTCCCCCTTTTTTAGTGTATATAATGAGAGTCTTCTGATGGAAAGTTAGGGGTCTAAATAATCAATCTCGTCAAGCAGTGCTCAAAAAGTGGATCAGTGTAAATAAACCTTTCTTAGGTGGTATTTTGGAAACTCACGTTAAGGAAGATCTAGATAAAGACATTTTGGCATCGATTTGTCCAGGTTGGAGATATGATAGTAACTACTCTTGTTCAGATAATAGACGTATTTTGGTGATTTGGGATCCTGTCATATAGATCATCACTTACAAGAAATCAGATCAGTTTGTTCCTGCGACTAATTCATCTTTCAATGTAGCATTTATTTATGCGCAAAACTTGGAGAGCCAAAAGAGAAGACTATGGGAGGATATTTCTGCGCTTAGAGCAGGCTCTCCACTTTCTTCTAGACCTTGGCTGCCAATGGGGGACTTTAATCAAATCCTTCTCGCCTCAGAGCACTACTCTATCTTTCCATCAGTGCTTCCCCTTCGCGGTATGGCTGATTTTGAGACATGTTTGGTGGACAACGAGCTATCTGACCTGTCAAGTAGGGGAGTCTTCTACACTTGGACAAATAATAATCCAGAAAGCCCTACTCTTAGGAAATTGGATCGAGCAGTCAATGATTGCTGGAGGACTGCTTTTCTAGACTCTAACGCCTTCTTTGACTCTCCAAGGGAATCGGATCATGCGCCATGTTTAGTGTCTTTGACATCAGAGATAGAGGTCAGAAGAAAATCCTTCAAGTACTTCTCTTTTCTCTCAACTCATCCGAAATTTTTGTCCGTCCTTAAGGAAGCGTGGGGAGAGGAAACTTGTGTTGGCTCTGATTTGTTTGTGCTAGGGCAAAAGCTTAAAGCAGCCAAGGTTTTCTGTAAGCACCTGAACAGAGAGGGAATTAGTAATATTCAGCAGCGTGCAAAGGAGGCTTTCTCTCGGCTGGAGAATATTCAGAAGGATCTGCTTTCCAATCTGTCTGGTCCACTGTTTCGAGAAGAATTTATGCCTAGGTAGTAGTAGATTTTCTTTTCCAAAGAGCTGGAGTCGTTCTATAGGCAGAAATCAAGGATTCGCTGGCTTGCGGAAGGGGATGCAAATACACCTTTCTTCCACAAGGCAGTCATTGCTCACTTCTCCCGTAACCGCATCATTAACCTCAGGGACTCAGCTGACAATCGTATTGATAACCCAGGTCAGATAAAGGATATGGTTGTTGCGTATTACTCGAATCTTCTAGGGTCTGAAGTGGCTGATACAGTTCCGTTTACAGTGGAGAGTATTCGGGATCTTCATCATTTTCGTTGTTCGTCAGGTGTTGCTTCCCAATTGATTGAAATCCCGTCGCCGGAGGAGATAACTAAAGTGATGTTTGACATGCTAAAAAATAAAGCTCCGAGGCCTGACGATTTCCCAGTTGAGTTCTTTTGGGAAGCTTGGTCTATCGTGGGGGAGGATATAATAAGAGCGGTCAGGGAGTTCTTCATATCAGGTCGTATGCTTAGGAAATTCAATACCACAGCCATTTGTCTAATTCCTAAGGTCATCGGGGCAGGCTCTCTTACTCAGTTCAGACCTGTTGCGTGTTGCTCTACAGTGTACAAAATTTTTTCTTGCATTTTGAAATCAAGACTACAACTGTTTGTGTTGGAAGCAGTTCAATCAAATCAAGTGGGCTTTCTCAAGGGGAGACTTCTTTGCGAGAATGTATTGTTAGCCTCTGAGCTGGTGGAGAATTTTCATAAAGAGGGTGTAACGAGAAGGGGGTGTCTCCAGATCGATCTCACCAAGGTATATGAAAATTTGAGCTGGACTTTTGTTCTTAACATCTTGGAAGCGCTTGATATCCCCCCCCCCCTAGTTCAGAAATTAATTTGCCGATTGTATTTCCACCCCTACGTTTAGTATGGCCTTGCATGGGGAACTCGTTGGTTTCTTTCTGGGATAGAAAGGGTTACGCCAAGGTGATCCTATCTCTTTTCTGCTTTTTTTCTAGCAATGGATGTTTTGGCAAAGAAGCTGGATATGAGGGCAATAAATCAAAGATTCTCGCCTCATCCTCTAGGGGCTGCTCCTCTCGTCACTCACTTAAGTTTTGCGGACGGTGTTTTGGTGTTTTTTTATGGAGAGGAGAGACCTCTGTCGGGCATTTTGAATATCTTAGAGGACTTCAGAGTTGGATCGGGTCTTCACATTAATCGGGAAAAGTCATTCCTATATCTTGATGGGAATAACTCTTCTTTAGCAAGCCAATTGGCAGTATCTTATGGACTCACTCAGGGATCTTTACCGGTCAGATATTTGGGGGTTCCGCTAACAACTCAGAACCTTTCAAGGAACGACTATCAACCCCTTGTAGATAAGCTCAAAGTTCGCTTCACCTCTTGGACTGCTCACCAATTATCCTTTGCTGGCCGCTTGCAACTCATTCAATCCGTCATTTACTCAACCATTAATTTCTGGGCAACAATTTTTATCTTACCGAACCAATGTATTGCTACTCTTGAACAGCTTTGCAATGCCCTCCTTTGGAAAGGGGCGATGAATTCAGCGCGGGGGCGAAGATCTCTTGCGATTCTTGCTGTACTCTGAAAACTTCAGGAGGTTAGGGGCTTCGTAGGCTTGCAGATTGGAATAAAGTTCTTGGCCTAAAGCACATCTCGTTGATTTTCACTGTAGCAGGCTGTCTATGGATCTCGTGGTTAAGAATAAATCTTTTGCAAGGCCGCTGTTTCTGGGCAATAGATCCCCGTAACTCAGGTAGCTGGATATGGAAACAATGCAAGCTTCGCCCTCTTGCCCGTCCCTTTGTTTTCTGTGAAGTAGGTTCAGGGATAAAAACGATGTTTTGGAGTGAAAACTGGACAGGATTGGGTCCTCTTATTGATATCACTGGTTCAGAAGGGCCGCGTCTCACATGTTTGCCACTCGATGCAATGGTAGCCGATGCAATTAGAGGTAATGAATGGTGGCTGATCTCGAGCCGAAGCATTAACTCAGTCATTAGCTTATTGCGTCAATGCCTTCCTCAGGTTGATCCGATAATGAGTAGTGAGTGCGATGACTCCTTTTTGTGGAAAATTGCCAACAACACTTCGTCTTTGTCTTTCTCTGCATCAAAGACGTGGGACTCATTACACCTGTCGGGGGAGATAGTTCTTTGGAATAAAGCAGTCTGGTTTAAGGATCACATCCCTAAGCATGCGTTTGGGTGTTGGGTGGTAGCTCGTAACCGAATGCTTACGCGGGATAGGCTGAGAAGGTGGGGTATCATGGTCCCTTCTCAGTGTTTACTCTGCAATACCCATGACGAGAGCAGGGAGCATTTATTTTTTGATTGCCCTTATAGTAATGAAGTCTGGACTTCTTTCACATCTGCGGCAAATCTCTCCAGCCCGGCTCAGTTTGACGACTTGCTTTGCTGGATTGTGCAACCCTCTCCGGACAAAAACATCAACAAGATTGTGCAGGAACGTAATGCTCGGCTTCACCTACAAGTGGCTTGGCCTGCAGCTACTATTGTAAAGGAGATTCAACATATCGTTAGATGCAAATTGGATCCTATGTCTAGAGCTCAGCAAAATACGCCAAATACTATATCTTTTCTTTCGACGTGGTTTTCTGTTTTTCAATATAAATAGCTTTCTTACTCGAGTTGTTCTTAGTGATGTGGTGCAAGTCCTTCTCAGTTTTTTTTTTTGTCATCTTGGTGACGAGAAGGATATGCTTTTGTAATTCGTTGGGGTCGGATTAATAACTTTTATCTATGAATGAAATTAAAAAAAAGATAACATTTAATTCGTAAAATCACTCTCCTGAATACTTGTTTTCGGTAGGATGTTTATTGACTTGGACGTCAGAGAACCTTCAGGAGGGAAATCCCTATTAGGTCTTTCTGAAGGCCCGACTGACTCTTTTGTATAGTGCCTGTATAACTAGAACATGCTTCCGTCCTGGAATGACTCATCGTCTTTCTCCCCTAGAAGACAAAATTTGGAGACACGGCTCCTCCACTCGAATGAATGATACACCTCCATGTGGCATCTGTAAAATGCTCCCGAACGATTGGCGCTAGAAGGAAAAAGATCACCGGGGAGAAGTTCCACGAAAGAATCCGTCAAGGTGGCTCAAACCGCACTGAGAGTACACGACGCTAGAGAAGACCCACGAAGACTAAAAGCTTGGCAGCGTTAAAGAGATCCCTACCTCTGACAAGTTACGTAGAACGACCCGACATTTCAAGACTCTAGACTTCGGAGCAGTGCTCACGCTAGCCCCCAAATCAAAGTACCAGGTCTACTACAAAGCTAAGAAATGAGTAAAGAAATGTGTATAAAGACAAAACGCGTGCAAAATTAACCAAGAAACAATTCGTAAGGCCAGAAAAGTGGCTACCGGATCCAAGAGTTCAAGAAAAATATTTTACAAGGGACAAAAGTCCACGAAAAAAAAATGTTTTCATTAAAAGCCCGGTGGACGAGAAGTCCCCACCGACGAAGATAGAGCCCCCCACCCCTTCCCCCCGCCTCCTGCTGCTTCCAGAGCATCCACTCTCTACGACCCGTTCTGGCGACGCTCCTCCTCAAGCTCCTGCCGGAGGCGACCTATCGTCGCTTAGCTGTTAGAGAAGCCTTGCACTGCCATTAGCGCAACGTCATGCTCCAGGTTCAGAGAGAATTCTTGGAGCAAGGTGAGACTCTTGCAAAGCATTTGTACCACGTAGATGCGAGTTTCCAACTCATGTTGTCTATTGGCCAGCGCCATCTGCAAGCGCTCTTTGCACTCATATCTTCCCTCCAGGCGGAGGTCTGTGCCTCCGTGAGCTGGTCCCGGGTCACGGGCAATTCGGCTTAAAACCCGCTGGCCCTTTTATCAAAGCCGCATTTGCGGTGCTCAGCCGATCGTCGATTAGCTATTAGAGAAGCCTTGCACCACCATTAGCGCAATGCCAAGCTTCACGTTCAGAGAGAAGTCTTGGAGCACGGTGCGAGTCTCGCAAAGCATATGTACCTCAAAGATGCGAGTCTCCAACTCCTGTTGTCTATCGGCCAGTGCCATCTGCAAGCGCTTCACCTCTGCGCTCATATCTTCCCCCCAAGCGGAGGTCTGCGCCTCCGCGAGCTGGTCCTGGCTCACGGGCAACTCGGCTTGAAGCTCGCTGGCCCTGTCATCAAAGCCGCATTTGCGGTGCTCAGCCCCATGAAGTTCATGCTCCAGCATCTCAAGCAAGAGCTAACTTTGCAAAGGCGAAAAGATCAACAAGGTTGCCGCCTCAAGAAATAAGAATCACAAGGGTCCGAGAAAAAATCTTACCGCATCAAACAAGCGGTTAAGCTCCAAGGTGGTTAGGCGACACCTAGAGAGCTGTCATGGCGAAGGAGCGGCCAGAGGAGGCGTCAAGACGGGCGCCAATACTGAGGAGGAGCTCCTCGCCCGCAGAGAACCCGACTTGGAAGGGGCTAGGGGCATCAACGTCCTGAGTCCAGAGGTTCCCCCGAAGCCTGAGAAGGGCCAGCCCCAATCGGAATTTCTTGGCCCCAGTGAAAGAGGTTTTTATGCTCTTTGAAATTAAAACCCTTCTAAGCCACTTGTAGTATAGCTAGGGTTCTTTGTCATATCCAAAAGAGTCAAGATAGAGGCACTAGGAATACATGATCCTAAGTAAGCTAAGCAAATTAGAGAAATAAGGTTATCTAAAACCCTAAAACACAAACAAAACCAAAGCAACAACTAAACAAGAGCTAAACACAAACTAAGTAATAACTAAGCAAGGAAACAAGAGAAACGAGACACTAAAAACAGAGTAAAAACATAGCAAAAGCAAACTAAATAAGACTAAGCAAAGCAACAATTTCGAAATTGATAATTATAAGAGAATAAAGAGGACTCAAGATGGAGCTTTGAGACAAGGGAGTTCACAAACAATACCAAGATGCTAACAAACACATATAAATGCTCATTCCTAGGCATAAAAATCAAACAAGCAAGATTAACCCAATCTCTTGGTGAAAATCATTTTGCTAACAACCTAATCAAGAACTAACTTCCAGATTAGATAGCTAACAAGCAAGCACAACCAATTCTATAAAGCCAAAATACACTCTAGATATCTAATCTCTTAGACTATAATAGATTAATCCTCTAAATGACATGATCATCATTTCATCGAACACTTGGTGGGCGTAAGAGAAAGCATAAATCTAAATCAATATGATCAATACCAATCTAGCAATTAAACCATCAAATAGAGAGGAATATTGTATTAAGAGCATAAGCAATCAATGATTAAACATAGAACTCCCCTAATCTACCCTATCAAGAACCCTAAAGAGGACTACTAACTAATTATTGTCAAAACTACAAAATCCATAGAGAAAGTATAGTAAGACATGATTAGGAAGAAGATTAAACAAATAAATATTAAGAGAAGTGCAGAAATTTATATTAAAACTCCAAAAATATATACAAAGATGTCTAGGATCCAAAAGAGAAAAGCAAGAATAAGAAAAATAACTAGACATAGCTGAAAAATTAGGTCTCTTGGGTATTTATAGGTGAGCATTGGACCCTAGGGAAGGTGGCAAAGATATAAATAAGTGATCTTTCGGAGGAGGTGATATCAGGCAAGTCTGGCCGATATACTGCTCGATATGAAGTTTTATGGGTTGGATATCGACCTCCAAACCCGATACACGTGCCCAACGTGACTGGATGTTCTCGTAGCGGTCTCACTAAATCCACGATATCTCTTGAATCACAGCACCAAATGACATGAAACAAAGTTCATACGAAACCTTACTCAATTGTATATCACTCTCATAAAGACATCTGAGGCTGAACAAGACGCAAACCCTTCATCCAGGCTGATTTTCAAGTCAGTCAAGATGATAGGTCAAAACTTCAGATGAACATGTGCTCACTTTATTCGCCGAAACTATTCAACCACCGATGGGAAGGACTCGAACCCAAGGCCACACGAAAGCTAGGTCTTGTATCTACAACTTTTATGAAGCCCACAAAGGCCTAATCGGAACAGAAACCCTTCATCCGAGATGATCTTCAGTCGTGGTTTTCTATATCAGAAAAGTCTTGCCCGATACGCTTGCCTGATATGGACCTTGATGCTCCCTGAGTCCTTATATCGGACACGCCTTGCTCGATATGATGATCAACATGAATATTGGTTTCTCCTGGACGTTTAGTTCGGGTTTGGAGGTCGATATGCTGCCCAATGCAGGTGTTATGTAGCTGACATATCAGGCATGCATGACGGTTTCACGAAACATTCTGTAACTTTCTAACCGCCGATGGGAATGACGTGAAACCAACTCCAAACGTAAGCTAACTCACGAGGATACAACATTGATGAAGACTGCTGAAGCTGAATCGGGACGGAGATGCTTTGACCGAACCGGTCTTTCAGACGCAGTTTCTGGCCGCTTCAACAAGGTATTCTCCTTTGGCTATTTTCATGCCTTGTGTTGCATCCACCATCATCTCTCATGCTCCTTGTAGTCTCCAAACACTCAAAATGTACCTGCCAAAATCTCAAAATGCACAAAACAGGCAATGCACATCCTAAATCTACACTAAGTCCTAAATGAATGCAAATGGGACAAGAACAAGCAAAAATGCATGCGTAGAGACTATAAAACAATGCAAAATGTATGTTAATATGGTATAAATAATGAGTATATCACCCAGGAGGAGCCAGAGCCCGTTGAGGACGAGAGAGCGAAAAGCAGCCTCGTGCAGACCGAAGAAGGGCCAACTCAAGATGTCTCCTCGGCAAAAAAATCAATGCAGCGTCTCCAAAGAGGCGGTTGGATAGACGCCCTCCCTGTGCTTCGAGTGAGCCTGGCATTAGGCCCCTGCCCCCGGGAGCGTAGATGTCCCACACCCACTCAAGTCGACGCGGGTGACTTGCCGAGCCAAAGTCAGCAAAGGCATTCTCATAATCAACGCAACCAGGAAAATCAAGCAAATACCTAGAGAAAGAAGCGGCACGTGGACCGGAAGAGTAAGAGAGCTTGCCCAGATGCTCACCGGTGAGAGCAAGAAGTCGCATGACTTGAACCGCTTATCTAACGCGAGCAACTGGTCAAGTTCATCCTAGTCATAGGCATGCGAGGCCGCACAGCCTGCAAGCATCAAAGCCCTAATAATCAGAAGTCAAGCGAAAATCAAAAAAGGAAAAGAATGTCGACGGTCTAGAAGCTTATCTTGCACCAGCCAAGTGAGCGGAAGTTGGTGCCCTCGGGCACCATCTAATAGAAGAACCGTTCCCACCAGCCGTGGCTCCCAGAGCGGTCCTCGAGGATTGGGACAGAGTAGCCATCCTTGGCATGCAAGGTATAATGGAGAGAGTCGGCGGTGAGGTTGCAGAGCTGGTAGGACAGCAGCAGCACGGAGCCACTGACACAGACCCCATACAGGTCCGGTCCAATAGGACCTGGTAGTGGTAAGCTCTGAGAAGGCCTCAAGCCGAAGGATGGAGCTGGCTAGGGCAGGTGCCGACACAGCGACATAAGTCGACTAA